TAAGCTGTGTGAAGCAAAACTTACCCTTCCAGAGAAATGGACTAGAGAGAATAAAAATTCAGCTCTAATTGTATGTAATAGATACTGTGTTCTTATAAGCTGGAATGTACTTTGCACAGGGCGGACAATGGAGTGGACTGTTGAGGCTGGTAGTACATATGAATGAAAGCTTCCACAGTTTTATTTGTATTTTAATATTTCAGCTAAGTACAAAAGTAATAACTACCAGAAATAGAAAGGCTTTAGAGTTACTGTAGCATCTGAAAATCATCGCTTCACTTGAGGGGCTGAGAGTATCCTCTGTATTTGCAATGAAGTGTCCACCAAAATTTAGAGTTGCCATTGCCAGTCTGAATATCATAACTGATCTTTTCTGAGCCCTCCTAGGGAAACTGACATACCTCTCAAGGTTAGCAGCTGAAAAGTCTATTAAATAAAAAACTTTTCAAAATTTTTTGTGTTCCCTAGTATTGTAAGAGGCCTGTGATTTTTGAAGGTAGTTCTTACATTCTGATAACTGAAATTCAGTTGAAATTCAGAAAAACGGAGCCAGTTCTTGTAAAATTGCTTTTGACATTTCACAGAATCACTGAGCTTAGGAGGGATCTTGTGAGATCATCTAATGCAACCCCTCTGCTGAAGCAGGGTCACCATGAGCATGTTTGTCCAGGGCTGTATCTGGTCATGTTTTAACAGCAGACACTGTGCAGCCTTTCTGGGCAGCATATTCCAGTCCTGTTTATGTCCTGTTCCAGCTTCCCAGTTGATGTGAGATTCATCTGAAGACACTGTGCCTTTTAATGTGTTCTTTTGGCATTTAGGGTACAGATTTAGGTATGGTAGTTTCCGATATGATATGATAGTTTCTGATGCTAAACCACTGAGTGTATATTGGACTAGAAGCTGTAAAAGCTGGAGTGGATCCCAAGGATAAAACTATAACCAGATGACATGAAAGGCTTCCACAGCCTTGTAGAGAAAAGCTCTTTACTGTGTCTGATGCCACCCTATTCAGTGGTTATCTTCAGCCTTTAAAGAGCATTGCAAAAGTCTGGGTTTTTTTCACCACAACTGGTTGCTTTGCGCGCATATTCAACAGCTTGGTAGTAGCTTAAACTCTGTTGACTTCAGAGGCAGCTACTTGAAAGAGCAGGGAGGAGTGGAGCATTAGTGTTGAAACAGCATCTCATTATTGCCTGGGGAGAGCTGTACTGTAGAACCACTGACAAAAACAGTGGGACCTGGAGTTGTGGTGGCAGCCTCTGACAGAGAAAAGACGCTGTCAGCCAAATGTATGGATGGAAGGTACTTCTGATCAAGACCAACAATACCTTCCTTACTGCTTTGAGCTTTGGCTTCCTGGGAATTAAACTTCAAATACTGCTCAGTTAGATGAGGTCTGCCTTCACACTGAAACATTTCTCTAAGGTGCCTGTCCGGACAATGTCTGTGGTACGTATGCCATTGCAGCTAGCTTCTGTGTGGCATATTTAAATCAGATCTGAAAGAATCTGTGCATTGCATTTCTGATGAATCATTCCCACTGAATCAGAATAATAGTTCTGACCAGTGTATTTTAGAGCAGTCTCTAAGGCCCTGTTTGATACCAAGAATCATGGAGCCAGAAGACTTTCCCTGTTTGCCACATATGATGCAACTCTTGCCACTGACATTAAATGCTAGCTTCCCCTGCACATTTCCTTTCTGTACTTCGCAGAACAATGGAAGAAAATAGCTGTATGTGCTAGCTGTGAATGTAACTTTGAAAGTGAAGCATGCTTTCTCTGATTAAAAACTCATTTCAAGGAGGTGTTTTCCCCAGTTCCTTCCTGGACTGTATTGATGCTTTAAGAGTTTGCTTATTGATCATCACTGTGCACACAACTAAACAAGACTCAGTGTTGTCTTGGTCATTCTGAGGATCCTTTCTTTAGATTATATATATTAGTTTACTGGTTTACTTGCGCATTGTTAATTACACTTATACAAAGCTTTCGCTCTAGCAACACATGCAGGAGAATGTCTCTTAATCTCTTGTATATGTGTACGCCAAGAGAAGCAGACTTGCTCTTCTTTTGCATTCCACTTGAGTTACACAGTTACAATGTCATTAATTTATCTTAGGAATATTTTTTATTGGAAGCTTTATTATCTTGGGCTCCAGATGTTAATTTTTAAGAGCTCACTCTGTTACTCAGGCCCAGGACAAACATGTTTTTCTTGTGTATAGAATTACGTAAGTCTGTCTTGCCCTGATAATGCATTCTGACAGCTGTTGACTCTGCTTTGTGCTCTCTAATGGAGAGGTGACAGCAAGCATTGTTGTGCTTGCAAAGCAGGCTGCCAGCCATACTAATGCAAAGTACTTTGTTGGCAAATCTATAAACTCAGCTGGAAACCCAAGTTGAGATATTTGTGCTAAAGAAAGGGTGGCTGTTTTGAGGTGCTACTCACAAATGAAGCTACTTACTTACAATTACATTTTCTGGACTGTTGTGTGTCCTTGAATGAGTCTTGACTAAAGCACTGTCTGGAGGAATCTAGAACATCTGGATCAACTTCTGTGCAAGAAATAGTTGCCCAACGATGCCTGCTTGAGCTTATTTGTACTGCAGTTAAGCTGAAACAATTTACTGAAATAGCATTTTTCTGTCTCTGAATGGTTTGATCAGTTAGCATCTACAGTCTCTTCAAAACAAAGCTTCAATGCCTCAAAAACCTCAGAGTTATTATTGGATTTAAGAGGCTTAAAGTTCTCTAAGGATCTTTTCTCTTTAGTCTGCTGCCAGTCCTTAGTATGTAGGTTTAATAGTCCTGTCAGCTAAAATTTATTCATCTCTGTTGTGACGCTAGTTTAAAAGAGCTAACTAAAAGAAAGGGTGCATAAAGGTAGAATTCTGCATCCAGCTTCTTTCAAGATGAACTGTCATACGTTCCAACACAGCCTCTCAGATTGTTGTCCTTGTAATGCCAAGTTTTTTCTGGAGTTGACAATTTCCTTGGCTGGTCATTTAAACAAATTCCTCAATCTTGTGTGTGGACACTTGGGACATCTTTATCAATTCCTCTGTATCTAGGATGTCATTAACTGCCAAGATGGTGTGTCCTGAGTACTACCTTGCAGGACTTTGAAAAGTTTGCTTGTTTTTTTTTTTAAAAAGCTCCTTTCTTCACCTGCAGTTCAAGATAAGATAAGGTTCCTGATACCAGAATGTACATATGTAGGTGCTTCCTGTCATGAATCACTGAAGATACCTTTGGTCCCTCCAGTTTGCATGTCCACACAGGTTTTGTCATCTCTTCTATTAAGCTAACAGAGATGCTTAAGAATTTGGGAAACATACCAATGGTACACTGAAGTCCTTTATATTACTTGTTTATATTTATCCTACAGTAGATATGTATTCTTTAGTAAATTAATGTCTGTGGGACACTACTTCTTCCTGTCCCCCAATTAACAGTGAATGTTTCCTTGCTTTAGTGAATCTACTTGGAAAGACTCCAGACTTAAAGCTTGTGACTCATTAGCATTAATTTGGAGAGCTGAGAGTTGTAAGATAGTTTTGTCTACCTTCTCATGTCTTATTCTGGCAGAAAATATTACTACTTTGGTTTTATCTGATAAAGAAGTATTCAGACATGCCACCATTACCGCATGAGAATTCTGTACTGTGGTTAATAATTTTTATATCTATGAAAACTATTTTCTTTATGTCAGTTTTAGATGGCATACATGCTAGTGATCATAGAATTCAACCAAGACCTACTTCAAATAACCATTTGATAACTTGCTTTTGCACCAGTCTACACAACATAATGCACAACAAATCTTCAGTAACTCTTTGGTGGTTTGGCTCACTCTCTCAATTCAGATCATGATGTGACTGGGTGTGAAGAAGTGCACACAGGAGAAAATACATTATTCTGGATACAATAGTGGCCATCACTTTTTTCAATGTATTTTAACTAAACATTTTTATATTATTAATATTATTGTGATAATGAGTGATATGTATTGTTCCCATTATCATAGAATCACAGAGTCATTGAATGGTTTGGGTTGGAAGGGACCTTAAAGATGGCCAGCAAAGTTTTCTTCATTATGCTTATATTGTATGTTACTAAGAACAACAAAGAGTGGCTTTAGGAAGGTTTCTCAAGTTCTGATGGGTGTAGACATCAGTCTCATTAAAGTAAATGCTACCCCCCAGTAGCAGCAAATATTTCAACTCAATGTTTTGTTCATTGATCTGCCTCTGAAAAGGACTTTGGTGCCTTGTTGACTCAGGAAACTGAAGAGTTGTTTCTGTGGAAGGAACATCAAGGTGGAGCTGCATAAACTTTAGTAACTTTTGTTATAAGTTCAGACCATGTGAGATGTTTTGGAAAGGCAAAACTTCTGGGTATGGAGGGAGGCTATGGGCATGGTTTAAAACGGCCTATTCAAATTTATTAGAAAATTTATTATGATCCAGAAATGTATTCCTTAATTTCAGAACTTGTTTAAAAAAAAATTAATTCCCTGAGTGTGACAGAAGATAGCTTTTACAACACTGCCTGACAGGTGTCCTCTTCTTTCTCAGTCAAATCCCCTTTCTCTCATTAAGCCTGAGACAGAAACTTTTCTTTATGATATGCTTACCTGCGTGGAAGATTGAGGGTGTTAATGTGCAGAAGACCTAAGTTTGTGGAGTGTATCCCCATATTCTGATCCTTCTAAGAGAAATGAAAGACTATCCTTTTTTGGAAGCAAGTCAGAGTTGTAGTGCATAGATTAATTATTTCCACTGTCCAGATGTAGTTGTATGTTTTTGCTATCCTTCAAAATGCAGGAGGAAGCATTGCAAGAAATACTACCCTGTACTAACTGCCTCAAGCTTAGTTCCCTGTGGATGTCCACTTCAAAGGCTGTATAAAATGCATATTATAAAAATGTAATGGCAAAATTATTTAGACTTAGAGATGCAACTGATTATTGAATCTACTTCTTGTTTTACAAGGTGGAGAAAGTACACAGAGGTGATCAGATTGATGGGCTTCTTTATCCTGCTAAGAAAACAGCACCTACAGCAAAAAGTGATACAGACCAAGAAAAGACATATCAGAATGTTTCTTCAAAAGCTGACCCCTTATTAAAACAAAATGCGGAGACCACACCAGCATCTCTTAGTAGTGACTTCAAGCAGAAAGTTGTTAACATCTTGCTGAAGTATTCCAGTGGTCTTTGGGCTAATGCGCTTCCCAAACTGTACCAAGACACTTACCAAGTAAAATTTCCAGAAGACATTCTAAATAACCTAGATTTGCTCTCAGATGTATGTGTAGTGGATTATGTATCTGATGTTCCCAGGAAGGCCATCCTATACGCTAAGCCCCAAAGACGCCTTGATGAAAATCTGAATGTCACTGAGAAAGTCCAGAAGCAGGATGGTACGAAGGCCACGGCTGAACAGCAGTATGAAGGATCCAAGGGCCAATATCCAGAGAACATAAGTGTTCCACCTCTAATCATTCCATCGGAAGGATCTGTGTCTGTCCTCGTGATAGAACTAAAAAATACTAATGACGTCCTAATTAGGCAAGTTTGTACTTCAGAATCTATCTTTTTTACTTGATTTATAAATCCACAGATTCATGTTGTGCAGGTCTACCGTAAGAGAACAGTTGAACAGGAAGTTGCAGGACTTTGCTGTTTACTTATTTGGTTAATGAAACTTTAGAATCCTTTTGTGTGTTTGCTAAATGGAAATTTTCTGAAACTTTTTCTGTGCTGAGAATCAAAGCAGATGGCATTGGAAGACTTTTTTAAGTAACTGTTTTAAGTTTATACCGTTTATACATCATAGTATTCAGATACTGCTGCAATACTTAAAAAATATTTGTTACTTCTTTAACTGGCTTACTAAGTATGACTTCTGGGGACAGATAAGATTCTATTCAACAGTAAAATACTAGTTCTTCCTGGTTTGGTTGCTTATTAGCTCAGCCATAGAGAGGACAGTATAGTGGCTATCTTATATGTATGTTACTATACTGTTTCAGGAAATACCATTTTAAGCTTTCTGTACTCCATTACTGGGAAAAAACACACAAGGCCTTTAAATAACTTCTTTAAAACTTAAAAAAAAACCCAATAAAACAGAAAATCCAAGCACTTTTTATAGAGGATATTTAATTCTTAAAAGTATTTCACATTGAGCATAATCTCACTTTAAAGGATGAATTGTTTGATAATATTCAACACACTAGCTTTAAGACTGAAGTCTAGATATCCTTTTTCTCTCCAGCTATCAGTAATGTATCAGAATAATCAGCCTTGAATCTCTTTTATATTCAGTTCATTGTTTAGTTCCCTGAAGTAATGGAGTCAGTGTCTGATCATCTGTTGTGAAAATCCCCATACTTGGGGGTTATGAAAGAAATTCTCATTTGAGAATGTTGCCATCTTTGTTTTAGCTGCTAGCACCATTCCTATGTTGTGCTTTTAATGTACATTGCTTATGCATTTATTTTGTATACTAGTCTTAGCACAAAGCATAATTTTAAGGCAAGAGTCTTAATCATCATTAACATTTGTACTAGCTTTGGCTGGACAAGTCAATGACTTTAGTGAAGAAGACAAGCTGGAATTTGTGAATGACCTTGAGCTTAAAAAAGAAATCTCAACAGGAAGAATTACATCAGTGAAAAGAGAGGCTTTGTTTTACATTGTTCCCGTAAGAGCTCTGTTTGAGCTCTTGATAAAGAGCAGGCTGTCTTTAGGAAAATTAGTGTTACCTGGAATGTGATCAGATTTAACTTAATCTTTATAATAAAGATAGAATACTATGTTACAATACTGTATCTGCACTAATAGTGGACATGTGGCAGACCTTCAGATTAAGTCTAGATTTTTATAGAGTGGTAATCTAAACTGTCTGGTAGAACTCAGCATTGTTAATCACTCTGCGAACAAATTGGAGCAGTAGCTAGTAATACAAATGTGGGAATAAATTGTCTTCTTTTGTCTGCTCTAATCTGACTTGTTTCAGAAGCATTCAGAACTTCTTATTTGGAGTTTTTCAGAAAGTTTATGTATTTTATTAGAAATTCTATAAAACACAAACTGCTTCATTATGAACCATTAGGTCAGCAGCCCAATATCAGGACTTTTCTCAAGGCCAGGAGCAAACAGCATGTGGTTTGACAGCTAATTTATAAAGTTATTTTTAGGTGCCTTGTTTTTAATCAACCTTTGTGAAAACCTGATGAAGCTGGTGTTTGTTAATGACAGAGTAACTTCAGAGTTGACATATTAGTTGTCTTTTATATTTGGTCCCAGATACTACTCTGCTCTTGTTGTCATGTTGCTCTACCTGATGATAGTAATCAAGTAGGAGCTCTTATTAAATATCTAATTGAGCATGTTAGATTATACACTGCTGGACCACATATAGCTGTCAACAAAAGTACCAAATTTGATGTCAGTTACTGTTCTGTAGCCCTGTTAATGGGAAAAGAGTTTGGATACTGTTGTGCTTAGAAAATGTATATATCTATAATTTGCTCACTCATATACGCATGCAAATGTTCTTAGGTTTTTATTCAGCTTTTTGAAATTGCATCTTAACTCTTATGTTGTTTGTTTTTTGTTTGTTTGTTTAAATACTGTAGGTATGTGGGTAAAGAATATTCTTCTGCCCAGGAACAAATGGAAGATGACATGAAAGCATACTACAGTCAGAATAGTAGAGTGTCAATAGCTCAGTCTCTGAGCATTGGGCAACTTGTTGCAGTACATGCTGAAGAAGACGCCTGGTTGCGTGCTCGGATTATTTCTCTAGAAGACAATAGAATAAAGGCAAGCAATTACTTCTGGTGGCACTTGACAAAAGACTTGAAACACTCTTAGGTTTTAGATACACAGTTAATTCCTAAATATGGTTCACTAGCATTCTCTCCTTTCTTGCCCTGAAGTATTTTCAGTTGAGAAATTAAGCCTTTTTTGAAGTTATGTGATTGCCAATATTAAATGGTCTTTCAGGGTTTTTTTTCTCTAAGTAATGTGAGTTTTTATGGTTTGTTTTGGATTTTGTATGAGGCTGGACCCTATAACACTTCTGTACTGAACATGTACTTTTGATAGTCTTAGGAGGAATGGGTGTAGTAGCAGTGTTTAGAGTGAGGCAAAGGAAGGGAAAGGGGAGAACAAAATCCACTTGCTGTTAGATCTTGTTTGAACTCTTGTACTGATGTCTTTATGATATACACTAAATAGTGAGACAATGAGATAGTTATACTTGTGTTCCCTTCCAGGTAGATGTGGTATTCAGTGTTTATAGGTACTGTGAATTTTAGTTAAATCCCTTTGAGATTATTTAACTGCTCTGTTAACCTTGTCTTGTGTCAAGCAGACTCTTCTTGCCATATGGAATGAAAAAAAAAACACATTATAGAAGCGTGAAAAAAGTTTCAAACTTCACAGTTAGTTCTTATCTAGTCAAACATTAATTACACCTTTTTTTCTTCCCTCAGCTAGGTGACTTTTTACTCACATCTGCTTAACATTCTTCCAAAATTGATATATTTCATAAATATATAGCACATGTCTTAGAACTGAGGTTTTTATGAAAGTTAGTATGGTACTCTTCAGCTGGAACTTAGAGGAGGGGTTTCAGAACTCAGTTTTGTGCAAGATTGTTGTTTTTAAGAAGTGGCAGGGACTGTCACGGTTTGACTCAGGATGGGCAATTGAGCCAGCACCAATAACACTCTCGATCCCCTCCCCCTCCCACTCAGGTAGGGAAGGAGAGAGAGACTAAGGCTTCTGGATGGAAAACTAAACTAGAGAGCTTTAATTAAATGCTAGTGATAAAATATGTGCAAATATACACAAGTATGTCCAGGAATGTGCAAAACCCTATTGTGTCCCCCCACAGCAGCTCCCACAGCATCTGAGCTGTGAGAAGTTCTGAAATGCTGAGGGGAGAGTGATGAGGGTCAGGGATGCATGAGCCTGGGGATCAATGGTGATGGAGAGATGGAGTCCTCCCTGGACACCAGCCATGGATGGAAGAGAAGTAAAAGAGGAAGAAAGAAGGAGGGCTTGATCCCTGAATTATACAAGGAATGGAATACTGTAGTTCCCTGGTTTTGCCGTCTGTCTTGTCCACTAGACTACGGGAGGCCTGTAGGGGGAGGGCTGTAGATATGACTCTTCTACTCCTTAAGTGTCTGAAGCAGGCAATTCAAGAAACAAACCAAAGTGTCCTTAATCTCTCAGCAGTATCTATTTGTAAACACTGAGCATTACCAGTCCACTAGATGTGCTACATAAAAGAGACTTCACTGAAGAAAAAAAAATCTGTAAAAAGAGAATTTGCTTGACATTGGAAGCAACTTTACCCCTAATTTCCCTCTAGCTAGAGCTATCAGCCAAAAGAAGGCTACGGCTTTATTGCAGCATTTGCTGATTATCCTCTGACACAGCATTCAAACTCCCTTTTCAATGTTTGGTATGCAGACGATTGTGTGATAAGAGTTAGAAAAAAATTACATAAAGCCCTGTCAGAGCCTTCTTTCACTTCTAGCTGCCAATCAGCTCAGTGGTTTCCTTACTGGTTTCCTGCACTGACTGTGGTATTTGTGTCAAAGTTACTATAAGTATAAATCAAAATTATTATCTTAATGCTGTAAAAACAAAAGGCAGTTGAATGCTATTTGACTTTTCAATGTGTTCAGAACTTTATAAATAAAAATTGCTGGTTTATTGCCTTTCTCTGTGTGGTTTGAGGTAATACATGCTGAGTCCTTCCAACAGTGTTCCTATTAAGAGTTGAGATTCTGTGGAACAACTGGAAAGGATGATTTTACAGAGATATTGAGAAGGCTGCTTTGCCTGAAAACTCAGAACATTCAAGCAGTGAAATAAACTTGATATTAATGGTGTTATATAGTGCTAAATTAATGAAAAGTGATTTGACTGTGGCTGCACAGAGAATGGGATAATCAAACACATTTTACATAGACTCCAGAAAACATATTTGCAATTATATTCATGATCTTACGTTCTTATTCCATTTTCCATTATCAGGTATGCTATGTTGATCATGGCTTCAGTGAGTTTGTTGAAAGCAACAGTGTGTACAAACTGCAGAAACAGTTCTATTCACTTCCATTTCAAGCTGCAAAATGTAAACTGGCAGGTAAGAGAAAGCCAGTGTTGACAATACAGCTTGCCAGTGCACCGTTTATGGATTGAAGCATCTCTGTGGGACTTTTGACCCATTTTTGTGATAGCTCTGTGTATGTTAGATTTTGTCCAAGACAGCTAGACTTAGCAGACACAGGTAGGCATGGAAAGAAGGATGGGAAGGAAAGCTTTATAAAGAAGCCTTGATATTAGAAGACCTTGACATCCAGTATCTCTGTAATTGAGTTTAGTTGTTTCTGCACTTAGCTTTGATGTCTTTGTTGCTTTAATACACACGAGCCTAAAGAATACAAGGAAACATTTTCTGTTGTGTGCAGTGTACTTAGCACAGCTCCTTTTTCCTTCTGTTCCCTTTCCCCCAAAGGTGGCTGTATTAAAAAGGTGGAAATTAAGCAGAATGCAAGTAAGGGTTCAGTACAACTTTCCTGCTACATCCTGATGCTTGGAAAGATTCCTGTTGTGAACACAGACCTCATTTTTTTTTTCCCCTTTGAGTATGGTGACACATAAAAAGTGTGGTGTGTCTTACAGGACTGGAAGCCTTCTGTGATGACCCTGTCCTGGTAAAAACTGTGGAATCACAGACATGCTCCAAGATACTTGCTGTGGAAATACTGGAAAAGGGTGATATTCCTCTTCTTGTTCTCTATGACACTTCCGGAGAAGACGATATCAACATCAATGCTAATTGTCTGAAGGCATTGTATGACAAGTCCCTTGAACTGCACCTACAGGTACCATTTTCGTGTTTCCTTTTTTTTTTTTTTTAAATCATTGACTACTAATGTCTTGTATGGACAAAAAACAGTACTTAGAAATTTGCTAAGATTGTATGTGTGTTTTTTTCCCCCTTTCATATCAAAATGTACTGTTACAGGTTGATGCACTATACACAAATGTCAGAGTAACCAGCGTTTTCTCTGATGGAAGCCTATATTGCCAAGTGCCATCTAAAGGCTTGTCCAAAGTTTCTGAAATCTTGCAGAAACTAGAAGACTTCTTCCATTACAAGGTAGATTTTATGGTGAGAGAAGTAGAAAAGTCACATAGCCTTTCTTCAGTGTATACCAATAACTTTCATTGCACGCAAGTTCAGGTTTCTGAGACAGCCATAGACTATTCAAAATGCTACAGATTCTCTTCCTAGTATTTTGGGGTGTATCTTTCAGCATGCAAAATGTCTTTTGATGCTTTCTTGAATTGTTTTGAATAGTTAGAACTGTAAAAATATGTGTCATAATGGGAAGCTTCCAATTGAAACCACATCAGATTGGTAGAAAGCCTGTGGAGGAACTTCAGTATTTTTTTCTTTTAAGTTTTACTTACATGATGTAGTTGAGGTGCCTAGATAGCTTGGCCTACAGCACATCACGCAAAGTAACAGTAAAAGCAGTGTAACCACGGTCTGTTCTTTTTTACCTGTTTTCCTTGGCAAAAATGATGGCTTTGACCTGATATGCTGCCTATCTTGTCCTTGTACCCTTAGCTTTTGAATGTTGTGGCTAATTTCAACTACAGCTGATGTATGGGATGTTTTCAAAAGTCATCACAGAATCACAGAATCGTTCTGGTTGGAAAATACTTTTAAGATCATTGAGTCCAACCATTAACCTAACTCTACTAAGTCCAATGCTTAACCGTATTCCTAAGCACCACATCTACATGCCTTTTAAACACCTCCAGGGATGGTGATTCAACCACCTTCCTGCACAGCCTATTTCAGTGTTTAATTACCCTTTCAGTAAAGAAGTTTCTTCTAATATCCATTCTAGACCTCCTCTGGTGCAACCTGAGTTAATTTCCTCTTGTCCTGCTGGTTGTTACTAAGCAGGAGAGACCAACGCCCACCTCCCTTCAGCCTCCTTTCAGGCAGCTGTAGAGAGTGATAAAGTCTCCTTTCAGCATTCTTTTCTCCAGACTAAGTTGCTTTTAAATAGGCACATGGCAGAGAAGTCTGACATTCCACCAACCATTTGTATAAGTATGCAACAACCTTATTACACACAAAAGAATTTATACAAAAGAGAAGAAATCTTAGGAGCATCTAAGGAGCATTTTTGTTAAAAATCCATCTGAGCCTTAGAGGGTCAAACCATGAAGCACGGGTCCTTTGCAGGTGCTGTTAGAACTGCTGCTTGTGAAACTACTCTGTCCAAGTATTTTCAGGTGTAGAAGCTAAGCTTTAGACCTGTTGTGGAAGACATGCCATACTTTATATTTAACATGTCTCAGTTATCAAGGTTCAGTTTCAAGCAAGCTAAACAGTGAAGGAAAGTGTATAGAACTCTGAAAGATGTAGCAACACAAAGGCAGTCAGCCGCACAGGTATTTCAAAAGTTCAGATTTTCTGGACAGAGTATATTTTGGGTTCTTACTGCCATCAAAGGAGATCTTAACATTCAGAATCCTCTAATGTGAATCTGTATATGGAGATAAAAGAAGCAATCTTGACTTGGCAGCTTATCTTGAGGGGTTTTATTTTGCCTGAGAATTTAAACAAACCAAAGTGTTGATGTGGCTTCAAATGGAGCTTCTCCATGTTTTCTATAGTTTAGTATTATCTTGTTAAATTATTTAGGATCATCACAGTGAATGTCACCCCCATAAGACTTTGAATGAGTAGCAAATTTGGTGTGTTTAATATCTAGAATACAAGGTAGGAGTTTCTTCAGTTGTCTGTCACAGCTCTAAACTGCTCTTGCTTTTCAGAACATTAAAGTAATGGTTAATGATTTTGTATTCTGTGTTTTCAAATGTGGCATTTTTTTCTCCTGGCACTTTATTTTCTCTCAGTTTCCACGTAAGATAAAGAGCTTGAAATTAAAGCTTTACCAATTGGGAAAGTTTAAACAACATGATAAGAAATGTTTCTGATACTGGAAAGAGACTTTATGTCTGGAACAGATTTTTTGCTTTTCAGAACTGTTTATTCCATGTGTGGCTTTTGAAATGGTTAGTTGAGTGCCACATAGTAGTAACGCCATGCTTTTTAACTTCTGTTTTTATATTTGCAGCAAACATCTGAATTCAATGTATCACTACCTTTCTGTGGCAAAATCTGCTTGCTGTCTTCCAAAGGAAAATGGGCACGTGTAGCGGTAAGAAGTATTCAAAGAACCAGCTACAGTTTTCCTTCATAGAAATGGCTGCTCTTTTTGTTCAGTTAAATCTGAATCCTTAGCTTTTGTGAAACTTGTTATAAGGTATGTCACCATTGTGTTTTTAACATCAAAGTGATGCTTTTGCTTTCTTCTTTCAGATAAGAATTATTCACACCAGACGGGCACTTGATGTGCAGTTCATGGATACGGGAACAGTTGGAACTGTGAAAATATCAGAGCTTAGAGAAATCCCACCACAATTCCTGAGAGAAGTAATTGCAATACCTCCTCAGGTATAAACACATGTTAGAGCTAACCTGACAGTGTTTGTAGTGCTCCTGTTTGTTTAATAGCATCCAAAATTTGAGCATATTTTATTGTGCATCTTTGCCTGAAGGAAATCATAACATAGTCCTGGGTATGGACAGAACGTTGTGTATGTGTAATGGTACTGGTTTTGCATGTTCCTCTGTCTCTTTGTTTGTCATACCTTATTGAATCTGTCAGCATTAATGAAGTTTCTGTGATTAGGAATTTGTGGACTAATTTCCAGATTACTAAATTAAACCTTGTGTATTAATTCTGTTCTTAGGCTGTAAAATGCTGCCTAGCAGATCTGCCCCCTAACACTGGCATGTGGACTCCAGATGCTGTGCTGTGGCTGAGAGACACTGTAATGAATTGTCCTGAATTTAGCATGAAGGTAAATAGTCAAAATACATGTGTGACTTGAAATCCATAGGCATGTGGAAAGAG